AAAATTTAATTAAAATAAACGAATTAAAAATTGTGGTGAGAAACAAAGCCCAAATTAAAACGTATCCTATTTACCTAGTTCTACTAGTGTATACTATATACTAAAAGCGAAAATTCAATCAAAACTCATGGGCAAAACTTAAATCTAACCCATCTTTAAAGGACTTAAACCGGCTTAAAAAATAAATAAATACATATGTATTGTATAAGTACGTAACACGGCCTCACGAGTTCCCTATGCACATATTCTCTATACACACAACTATTCGCACATAGCACTGGAATTGCACGATGGAACTTGGGAATAGAGGCCCCTATTATGAGTTGCATTCGATTTTCGATCTTCGCTGGCTATCGAAGACCGAAAGTGAAATTCGTATTATAGGGCATTCGCACGAGCGATTTTACAGGCAACAAAAGTTGAATACGAAGTTGAATGAGAAGTTGAAAATGAAAAAGTTGGCATCCCTATTCAGACGAGGCGATTTTCGATTCAACACGAATCGTTATTTACATTATTGAAAATGAATTTAAATCGCAAAATTTTATCAATTGGCGTAAATTTGGTAAGCCAAGCGTTGGTAGAAGTGCTTTTAGCGAAGCTGAAAGATAAAATAAGAGTAAAAAAGTAGAAAAGAAGAAAACGTATGTATACAGAACAGTGTTGGCATTTTTGGTACAATTGTACTTGTTTGATACAATTTCATTTACAATCTACTTTCCTACTACGCAGTACTTTTTAGTACAATTTTGTAATCAATACTAAAAATATATAGCTCTGAAAATTCACAGCAAGAAATTTTTTGTATTCTCTTTTGTTCACCTGTTCGTATTTACTTTTGTAAGTTTTGAAAAATGGCTTGAACGAACCAGTATAATATAGCCTATGCAAATTTTTAAAGAAACTTTTCGATACTAAATTTTAATTAAAACAAAATGTCGAAGTCAGCTTCATATAGAAACAAAGTCTTCGTTAGTTATAAGAAGAGATTTTCTTAAATATAATACGATATAATAAGACAACATACTTTCGTAAAAATTTCGAGCTTTATTAATATTCTTTAGTTTTTAGCCCATTCAATTTTAGTATAATAAAGTGCAAGTTTAAAGTAGCTGTTGAACTTGGCAATTTTTTTGTCGACGATGTCAGCTGTCAGAAAATTAGCAACACCTTCATCAAAGAAATATTAAAAAACTTAGTTATATTAAAATTTAATGGGCTAAAAAACCGCACACTTAAAATAAATCTACGAAATCGAATTAAAAAGTTCGAAATTTTTACGAAAGTGTGTTAGTTTTTTTTTAATGTTGCACAAAGTTTGAACCTTGGATTTGTACGGCATTTCTTAAAATATAAACAGTATTTAAAAAAAATAATTAAAATTGAATAATAATAAGATAAATGGTCAAATCTTGTCGTAAAGTTTTGATAAGCACTTGAAGTGCTATTAAAATGTCAAATTTTAGTACTGAATCCAAAGGAAAATGTCCCTTTTATCCATTAATAATAACTTAAATATGCTTTTTGTTAAGATGTATACCTGAAAATTTGTACATACATATTTGGGTTAAATGCAGTACATGTGCGCGTGGAATCAATTTGTAAAAGTGTAAAGTACGTAAACGTATGTACATAAACAATAAAACTTTCTCGTGAATACCATAAAATCATTGGTCTTGAAGGGAATATACTAAGAAAATATATGAGCGAATTAAAAAGTATATACAATTTATAGCCGAAAAGTACATTTTTTGTATAGATTTCGTACTGAAGGAACAATTTTATTTCCCAACACTGATACAGAATGTAAACAAACACAGGGTTGCAAGGAAAAAAAGTTGAACGAGCTCAAAGTTGGCTGGCGACCAACTTTGTTGAAACCGATTAGTTGAAAGGCCGTTCGGACGAGGCGATTTTTGCTTTCAACTAAAAGTTGCCTGTAAAATCGCCGCGTGCGAATGCCCTATTATGAGCTATGCAAGCGTGTCGAAATTTTCGTTGAGTATCGAATTTGTTTGTCGAACAGAATTTTGCTTTCGTTGGTGTAGCGAAATGTTAGAAAATTTTCTAAATGTATGCTTTGCATTTGTTTTCTTACTTTTTGGCGGCTAGACACTAATTTTAAATAATTTGTATTAATTTCAAGCAGTTGTAACGTCGTGAATAGTAAAAGATCGAAAGTCTGGTTTTACATATGAAAGAAAATCCCTATACTCTGTTGGCACGATTCATGGCACAATAAAAAGGTAGCAGCATCGTAGCAAATACAACAACTGCATGTATTTTGTTGTTGCTTGGGGTCCATAAAGTGTCAAAAGACAAATGTCAAATTTGCTGAGTTTGACAATTCAAAAGAAAAGCAAAATGGCCCGCAAGTCAATAAACGTGAGTATTGAAAATTATTATGTGAAATTTATAAACTTTTCAAAGAGCATTACAACGCCCTACGTTGTGATATATATGCGGAATATATGTATTATCATAACTAACTGATAAGTTTTTAATTATTTATAGTTATGGGCATGGTACAAGTTATGGGCGTTGTGGAGCAGAAGCAGCAGATGTGGCCAATGCTGTGGATGGTGGCCGGCCATGGTGCTCCTTTTCGGACTCACCCAGTCAACTGGAAACTACGCATGTACGTCGTGTAGCAGATAAACCTGATTATTCTTGGGAAGAATACAACTATGTGAGCTACATGATTTACTTCCCATTTTCATGCGCTATGCTACTGCTGAAGTCTTTCGCGGATACCATGCCAAGGGAAACTAAATACAAACGCAATACTGTAGGTTTAGTTTAAAGAGCAAACCAATTTCCTTCACATTTTTTTATATGCTATTATCTTCCGTAGAACGAAATACCAGAGAGTTCGGCTAGTGTCTTATCCCGTATATAGCATTTTCAGTTTAAATTAAACTGTTTTCAAATTAAATGAAACCTTTTTCAGGTTAAGCGAAACCTTTTTCAAATTAATTGAAACCTTTTTCAGATGAAGCGAAACCTTTTTCAAATTAAATGAAACCTTTTTCGGATTCAATGAAACTTTATTCAAATTAAATGAAACTTTTTTCAGGTTCAATGAAACTTTATTCAAACCAAATGAAACTTTTTTCAAATTAAATGAAACTTTATTCAAATTAAGTATTAAACCTTTTTGTAATCAAGGAACAGGAAATCAACTTAACCTATTAAGAGCCGTTTGCACCATGTCTGGCTAACACTAAAGGCTCTGTTATGCATACTTGGCATTGCTTGAGAGTTGTCACATAAGGAATCTGTTAAATGAGCTTCGCGTGTAAGCTGTTACCCAACGCACAGCATTACATACGTACAAGTCTGTTGGTTTTCGAATTCTACGTAAAAACTTGTACGTAACAAAGCCTTAACTGCCAGTTACACATCGTTATCGATGCCATACTTATATCAGTGAGTCGATAACGCCGATTATGATGTTTAACTGGGGGAATATTTTTATTGTTGCTACACGAATTCAAAGCTGTCAACTATTATTTTCTTAAGGGAGAAGAGGGAAATAAAGTACAAATACTCTCCCTTCTCACTCACTCGCTTAAGCGAAATGTAAAATTTGGCATTTGCATAACAATTGTCTAATTATTTTCTTCTAACTTAAACAAACTCTATGGAATAGAGCACAGTCTAATCACGGCAACATTCAACTTCGGTTAAAGAATAATTTTGACATGTCCCATTTCTCTTTTCCTTTTCACATCATCCTTTACATGTACTCCCGAAAACAGAGATATTTGAAGTTTTATAAAATGAATAAATTATATCATTTGCCTGGTTACCAAAACCCCTCGAAAACCACAACAAACCAACCAACCTGCCAAAGCCTTATTTTAAAAAGTGAAACTACCAATTTTGGTCCAATTGGACCGAAACGGCAACACTGTATTCAACATGCCTTGACCGTAAGGGAGAGTAACAGTTAATTCAAAGTAATCCAAAAAAGAAGTTTCATTTCATTTGAATAAAGTTTCATTTAATTTGAAAAAAGTTCATTTAATTTGAATAAAGTTTCACTGAATCTAAAAAAGGTTTCATTAAACTCGAAAAAGGTTTCGATAAACATGAAAAAGGTTTCATTTAATTTGAAAAAGGCTTCGCTTAACATGAAAAAGGTTTCATTTAATTTGAAAAAGGTTTCGCTTAATTTGAAAATGGTTTCATTTAAACTGAAAATGCTATAACATACACATGGTTTGGTGGTGGTTATGGCGTGGAAAGTTTAC